AAATAGGCCTACGTTCTTTGGCCCATAGCCCAAGCTATGGCCAACACATAGGCCTAGGAGTAGGCTGTTGTGGATAAAAATCGGGTAAGTTCTGGTGTTCATTTATTCGTAGTACGTTTTTACCCCCCTTAAAATTTGGTACCTTACAGATTTTGAGAACTGATTATCTTATCGCTGGAGTAAACAAACAACACAACTTGTAGGGAGGGCAGGGAAGGGGGGTTAACAGCTCCAAGGTCAAGATAGTTTTTGTGCCTCGAGCCTCCAGTGAGAGGCAATAAATTAACGTCCCGTCTTGTAACAAAATGGTTGCTTGTATCTTTAATTTTGACAAAAGGTTCTGTACCGTATTACGATGGATTTGTAAAGCATCAATTAATAAATTACAGTACTAAAGTTATTAAAATAGGAATTTTATTGACTCTTGCCTAGTATTATAATATATTCCACTGAAAGTAGGCCTATTTGACTTAACCGTGTTTTGTGTTTATTTGTGACTTTTCTATCAATAGGAAAAAGGAGATAAGAGTAGTTTACTTGATAAATAATGCAATTATGATTTCAAAATAATCCTACTAATATTATAAATGAGAAAGTTTGGATGTATGGATGTATGGATGTATGTTTGTGACAAGTGAACGCGAAAAATACTGGTCGGATTGGGCTGCAATTTTGCATGATGATAGCTCACATTCCCGATTAACATATAGGCACATTCTTATTTCAAAAATCCTTTCGGGCTCCGCCCCAGTGGCTCTGGAGTTTCCCATGTTAACCTTAAGAGAATTGGAATTATTGAATCTTAACAGCTGTTTCAACTAAACAAGTTGGTTCTGTTCTATGATGTTCAATAGCATTAAAGTTACAAGGATTACCAACAGGGTGCAGCACTATTATTTCTTTTACATTTATGACAACAGCTAATTTGCAACCAAAAGGTGAGTGAGCGTAGCGAACAAACTTCAACCTGGAGGCGAGTTAGCGTAGCGAACGAGCTAACCTGAAGGCAAGTGAGCTCAGCGAACGAGCTCCAACCTAAAGGTGAGTGAGCGTAGCGAACGAGCTCCAACCTAAAGGTGAGTGAGCGTAGCGAACAAACTTCAACCAGGACGTGATTGAGCCATGCGAACGAGATAATCTTGAAAATTATGAAGTTAAACGGGGCAAAGCCCGCGGGTTACAGCTAGTGATTATATAATTCCAAATGAATAGCACTTCATTATGTTATGATTTTAGGGATTGTCCGTTTTATCCGACCTTTTGAGTTATCCGACCTAGGTTTGGTCCCATTAGGGTCGGTTAAGAGGGGGTCTACTGTATCGAGTATCGAGTATCGACGATACCTCGATACCGCTGGTACCGAGAGTTAATTACGAGTAGTTTATTCATTATACTATATGAATGTTTTTCTTTCTTTCCTTAGTTTTTCAATTTTATCGTAGATAGGTTGGTTTAATTTTGGAATCATTGTGTTAAGTATGTTGTTTGGGTCCTTTTTGTTGTGTATATAAATATTTAGCTCTTCTTTTACATTAAGTTTCTCACGTTCTTTTTCATATTCTAAAATTGTTAGATTTTCTTTCATGTTTTTATAACTGTGGTCTGTGTTCATTATATGGTCGGCGAAGTTCGACTTCATTGATGTTTGATTTTTTGATTTCAATGCTTGTAGATGTTCTTTGAATCTTGTTTTAAAACTTCGAGATGTTTGACCTATATAATAATTGCTACAGTCACTACAGTTTATCTTATAGATTCCTGATTTGTTGTACTTTTCGTCTTCATTATTTTCTGTGTGTTTGATTTTTTTATTGATTAATTGGAATATATTGTTCTTAGTTCTGTAACTTACTCTTATATCTGAATTTTTTCCTAAACCCTGCCTAGGCCTAAATAGGTAGTTTAAGTACTTATACCAAATTTTCTAAGTTATATGTTAGGCCTAACTTAGTTTTTGTCTTTGCAGAGAGTGTGCAGCATTTTGCTGAAACAAATTTCATCCTAGCCTAAACCAGGCCTAAATAGGTAGTTTAAGTACTTATACTAAATTTTCTAAGTTATATGGTAACTAATTATTAGTACCTCCTACCTTAGGCCTAATAAAAAAAAATGGCCTAGACTACTTGTTGGCTGCAGCATTAAATTATTTAGGCCTACACATCACTTGTTATTGTGTGTTTTATTTTTTCTTGCCTTTAATTCCTCCTCACTAACATGATAATCAACCTAACTAACTAACTTAATAAGGTAACTTTAAGAATAATTTCAATTCAAATAAGAAACAGAATTTATAAAAATAAATTTATTTATTTAACAGAAAACTTATATCAAACTACATATTGTATCACAAGTTAAAAACATCAATATGCAATTAGGTATTTTAAAATAGGTAATCACTTGGATAAGCACTTCATCTGTCTGAAGCTGAAGTTTGAAGGTTATGGGTACAAGGGCTATCCTCTTCACTCAGTACATTTATAAAAATGATCAAGTCACTCGTCTCTGACAGACTGAAAATGTCAAACAAATCATAGTAGGACTATTATCTCGAAATAAAATCCCACATTAAAAACTTAATTTAAAATTAAAACACATTTCACTGTAGCCCGGTATTGCCTATTTGGCCTTTCTTTATAAACTCACATTTTCTAGGTTAAGTTACAATTCAAACTGTAGTTGTCATGTTTCTGCCACCAAATTGAAAATTGCACAATCAAAATCACAAACAGAATATGTTTATTTTACTTTCTATTAAACTTTCACTAACAAAATCAATTTTATTTTAAGTTACAAATTCACTTCAAAGTAAAAACATTCAAAACTGACATAATCCATTGTTTTGTTGTTACGCCAGCTGTCACCATATCTGCTCTCTCTCTCTCTCTCTCTCTCTCTCTCTCCCCCCCCCTCTAGTCAGTCTGCTGGTCTGCTCATTCTGCTTCTGCTTTGTTTTCCCATCAAACAGCTGTTTTGCAGGGCTGACGTTGCCATATTTATCATTACACCATTATGGTGAATGTCGGTAAAAATAAAATTGCTATAGCTTTTATTTCGTAAAAAAAATTAATAGTTTGACTAATTTTAATTATGTTTATGTAAACTGGTTAGAAAATAAATTATACTTATAGTTTGTTTACGCCAATACCACAGTTGTAAAAGTATAACAATTATCGTCCTTCTGGCAACACTGAGTTTAAAGTGGAACTGATCTTTTCTTTCTGCCAAGACCCAATGAGATTGCGTCATTCAGATGCATCGGTGTTCCTTACAGTAACTTATCGGTTTGTAAAACTAAACACCAATACCGATTAATGTGAAAAAATATTATGCTACAATACGTTATTTTTATTTGTTGTTTGGTATAAAATATTTTGTTATTTCTATATTTTGGTATAAAATATTTTTATGGCAGTTCAAACTAAATCTGATTCTGTACTTTATAATATCTTCAAGAATCGTCTGCCATTGTTATACGTACTAGTCACGAGACTCCCTTGTTGACTATCGACTATTGCAATTCGATAGATTCATTCAATGCTTTATTTCAGCTTACTCAATCGTTATCGAGACGTATTGTTGACTGTTGTAGGAAAGTGAAAGTCTGTTAGGCCCAGCGCACACGGTGTGACTGTTTTACAACTTTCGCTGCAAACCAGTTGCGCGTGCAACTGTTTTGTGACCTCGGCAATGTATTACAGTGGGGAGGCGCGCACGACGCAACTGTTTTTTTGCGATTTCCAAAAATGTTTGAAACCAGTCACATGCAACCGTGGGCCCGACGTTGCAGTTGCGTTGCAGACTTCAGTTGCACGAGACCACGGGGTGATTTTGTGGTGTTTGGTGGTATTTTGGTGGAATTTTAACGGCCGTATAGTGTTTTTAGTGTTTATAATTTCCTATCCGAATAGCTCTAGCTGCTACAAACAGTCTAGGCCTAGTACTAACATTCTTGCTCAAATAAGGGTGAACCCAATGCTCTTTCAGTGCCCTTCGCTGTCTTCGGTTTTGATAATAGCTAATAACGTCTTCTTCGTCTGAGTCCAACGTAGTAAGCGCACTTAAGGCCTTAAAACAACGTAACTGCACTAAATTTGCACTCCACTGATTGCACAATAAACGCAACTGCGTAGTTGTAAAACAGTCCACACCGTGTGCGGACAGAAGTTTTGTTTCAGTTGCATGAAACCAGTCACATGCAACCGTGGGCCCGACGTTGCAGTTGCGTTGCAGATTTCAGTTGCACGAGACCACGGAGTGTTTTTGTGGTGTTTGGTGGTATTTTGGTGGAATTTTGACGGCCGTATAGTGTTTTTAGTGTTTATAGTTTCCTATCCGAATAGCTCTAGCTGCTACAAACAGTCTAGGCCTAGTAATAACATTCTTGCTCAAATAAGGGCGAACCCAATGCTCTTTTCAGTGCCCTTCGCTGTCTTCGGTTTTGATAATAGCTAATTACGTCTTCTTCGTCTGAGTCCGACGTAGTAAGCGCACTTAAGGCCTTAAAACAACGTAACTGTACTAAATTTGCACTCCACTGATTGCACAATAAACGCAACTGCGTAGTTGTAAAACAGTCACACTGTGTGCGGACAGAAGTTTTGTTTCAGTTGCAAACTGGTTTTAGATGCAACTGGTTTGCAACAGTTGTTGTAAAACAGTCACACCGTGTGCGCTGGGCCTTAGTAGTCCTCTTGCTAGCTCTGCCGAATGATGATGGGTGTTTGTTGAACATTTGGTTTACGCTGGTAACCTATATGAGGTTAGATAGTTGTTTTTTTGTAGGAATGGGGATTAAATAAGGCATCAACACAAAACAAAATATAATTTATTAAATATGGGTGTAGAAAATCGTGTATTGGCACTATTTATAACTACTCGACTCGAATTTTCGAGTAGTAATTACTACTCGACTCGAGGTCGAGTATTTGAAAAAAACTCTAGTAATTACTCGAAGGTCGAGTACTCGCCCACCCTTACTAATGTGTTGATATCTTGAACAGATCAGTGGGGACATTTGCTCGAGCCCTAGACTGCTCCAGTTCTGTCAAACAGCCAAGTTTGCACATGAGCGCAGCTGCCGCTTCAAGGGATATTACATTGGTATGTTTGAGTTTTACTTCTAATATTAGAAAATTTAAAATTAACAATTTCTTTAAGAATATATTATAGGGTGTTTATAAAAGAATGCCGGGATTTTAAATGGAAATTGCTTGGATACTATTCAAGTTAACTAAACGTTTTATACGTCAAATTGAAGCTAAAATAACTAAGTTTTGTTTCCTGTGTAGCAAGGTGCGTGGTGGTAGGCCGCTATTGCGCTCACTTGCCTGACGCCAGTCGCCAGTGCAATTTTTACGGTGCAACAGAAGGCACAGAGTGTAATCTGTGGTTCACAGAGTTTATATCAATTGATAAATTAAACTGAATTTAAATAAACTTGATGATAAAGAAATTTGTTGCTGGTTTAATGAGTTTTGTAGCACCGTAGTGTTTTGAAAAGGCATTCACCTGGCCGGCTAAAAACAAGCGATGACATAGTCAAAGAAATCCGACAATTCTGTATCAGAAGCCCCAAAACATTGATTGCCGACGAAGTCTTCATTTGAACATACATAAATCAACACTTCATATCTGTAAAAGATAAGAGTCTTTGTGCCTAAAAAGATGCAGTTAAGACATCAAATAAACCCGCAGATCGCCCTAAGCGTACAGACTTAGCCAGATTTACGCTCATATAAGATTGTTGAAAATCTGAATTTTATAAATTATTCTGAAGTGTATCAAAGTATGAAAAAAAAACATTGTTCTTTTCCTTTCAATTTGACGTTTAAATCATTTAATTATCTTGAATAGTCCCCGAGCAACGACCGGCATTCTTTTATTCTTTTATAAACACCCTGTATTTATTTTTACTTTGTATTTGACTAAAAAGTAATATGTGTTGATGGTTATTATGTTCTGGCTCTTTGACAAAAATATCTGTCACTTTTTATAAAATATGTTGCATATTGATTCCAGTTGAAACCTTCATTGTGTTAAAACAAAATATAATGTTCAAGTAATATCATCTTAATCTACTACAAACTCATTAACCATATAACTGCCAATCGGTGATTTTATGGCTGATTAGGGTTCTTTCTGTATAGTTCAGTCACAAAATGACCGATCTAAGATTTAGCATATATTTAAGCTCATTAGTGATGGTCAAAACCAGAAATTTTGAATATCAAAACCGAAACCGAAACTTTAAAAAATCGAATCTCGAATCTCAAAACCTAAACGCGAAACTTTTTTACTTAGCTGGTTACAAGGTCAAGGTTAAAAAAAATACACTCAATCATAAAATGTTAAGTATGCAACCAAAACTGAAAGAGATCGACTCCTCCTGACCGTGACATAACATAAGTATGTAAATGTGACTGATAATCTTAAAACCCAATACAACATAATTTTTTATAAACAACAACAAAAAATTAAATTAAACTTCTAACACCAACATAAACATGAATATTAGATTAATTAGAACATTTAGTGGTCAATATTTCTTTGTGTTAAGTAAACATTGATGTGAAACTGAATTGTACCAGTTATAGTATTTAAGATAACTTTTGAAGTTCAGAATAAAATTTACTTGTTTCATTACTGTTAATGGTGATGTTTGCTCTGTTGCTACCAGCTTGTTTGGAAACAATGTTTAAAACAATAACAATGGCACAAAAAAATGTCAGCAGTGTCAAAAATAAAACTGCCAAAATCTTCAATTTCAAAACTTTTGAATCTCGAAACTTGGTGATCGAACCTCGAAACCGAAAATTTTCCTAAGTTTTGATGGTTTTGAGATTTGAGATTCGGTTTTGACACATCACTAAAGCTGACATAATCAATGGATTGACTTATACTAAGCATGGATGTAAAATTAAAGAAATTGGCTATCCTGCTAACTCGTCATTAATAATTTTGTGAGTGCCCATAGTTAAATTTCTGTTTTCTTTGTCTGCTACTTAAAAATTCAAGGTCAGCTGATGAATAAAATTTTTATGAGAAATTTGCAACAAACAATAATTGTTTCCTAAAGTTATTTCATGTAAATTGTATACTGTTTAGTGAAATTTATATAAAAGGCTATCCAGAAAGTTCAGATGTTTTGGCCTGGTGCAGCATTGGGCGGGGCTAAGACCTTGGTATCAGAATTTTTCTACACTCAGTATGCAACCAGCCGTGGTAGCTAGAGCATCGTGTCCTCTGTGCGTTTTACGCAGTGGAGTTTTGAAATGAGTACTGCGATTAAAAATCTCGCCAGTTGTGAAGTGTGTGGTGTGATAAAATTTTTTTTAGAAAAAATTACAAACCGATTAAAATTTATTGCAAGATTTGTGATGTGTACGGCCCAGGAATAATGAGTAAACCGGATTTGGCGCTGAGCGACCATCATCTGTTACCAGCGATGAAGGCGTGGCTCGCTATGCAATGATTAGACTCTGGCACTGAACTCAATGCTGGTCTTTTCCTCGCATCAGGTGGTTAACCACGCAAGTGGCAGATTTCTACAAAGAGGGCATTGAAAAGCTTGTATTACGTTACGATAAATTTTTTAATTTAAATGGTGGTTATGTAGAAAAATAGCCTAAGAGTTAAGCTTCAAAATATATGTAATACATTTTTTTTTTCATTTGTATATAGTTTATTCCAAAATTATTTTAAAATTTATTTCTGGATGGCCCTTGTGGATAGTGTATTTTTTAATTGCCCAATATAAAATATATAGGCAATAGTACTGTATGCATTTTTTGGTACATCCAATAAATAAAAAGGATATAAATTGAGAAGTTTTATTACTTAGAGAATAATAATTCTCTTTTTTTCTCCGAAACAAGTTATAGTTATACACTTTATAGTATAATTTTATTAAAAATAACAATTTGAATTGTAATAGCCATCAATCAGTTCCTTGATGCCCAACACTGGTCCAGCACTTTGTCTAGATACTCCAGCCAGTGTCCCCAACACACAATTGACCAGTTGTTTGTTTGCAGTTCCATGCAATGGACACACTTCACCAGCACAACTACGACCTAGCAGAAGCCATCAGTTCCTTGGTGCCTAGCACTGGTCCTGTTCTCTGTCGGGATGAAATGGAAGAGTGGTCAGCATCTGAAGCGAACCTATTTGAGGAGGCCCTTGAAAAATATGGGAAAGACTTTAATGACATCAGACAAGATTTTGTAAGTTTCCAAAAACAGTTGCCAGCCTAGTGGTTAGTGTCTCGGACTTCGAATGTCTCTGGCCGGGAGGGACGGGTTCAATTCCCGGCACATCCACAAAAGTAAATTTTTTTTGGACTGGTTACCCTTAACCCATTGGCGACCCATCACGAGTATACTCGTGATGACGACATACTTTATTGTTATTCTTTTTACTTGCATTTAAAATTATTTTTGTAGCTTTTTACAACTTTTAGGGCTATAGAACATCAAATTTGATAAAAAAGCTATTTAAAGTAATTTATTATATGCCGTAATATTTATATTGATTGCCTAATATGGACCTATTTTGTTTGCAGCTGTTGGTCACTACGTCGCTAGCTAGTGACGGCGTATTAGTCAGCTGTCACAATTGTAACAACAAAATTGTGTTATCATGTTCGTAAACATTATGTGTGTCTACGTTTTCAAATAATACGTGTGTTTATATTGGATTTGATAACGAATAAAACAATGAAGTGTCAGTTTTTTCAATAGTTTTTTGTTATTTTTTAGTTGTTTTATTACAGAAGACAAATTATTTTTCGGAAAGTGTTTTAGTTTAAGGTTATCAGATGGCTCGTAGGGACGATTTTTATATTCCAGTGAAATAGATAGAATTTTATTTGAGGAAAGCGACAGTGACCAAGAACGTAGTAGTGATTCCAGTGATGATTGTTTTGGGGAAGTAGAAGAGTTGGATCCTCGATATCTTGTGGAATCAGAAGATATCCACCATCTTTGTCCATGGTGAAGATGGGATAGCCAATTCAGACCAAGGTGATTGTTTTGGGGAAATTGAAGAGCTGGATCCTCAGGATATATGGTGAAGATGGGTTAGCCAATTCAGACAAAGATCAAGGTGAGGCTGTAAGTGATAGTGTAGGTTTTGATGAAGTACCTATTGATGATATGGACATTGAAATCGAAATTGGGTAAGGTGATAGGTCTAGTCTTGTACCTTTGGTTTCTGAGTAGGGGTGTGCGAGTATTCGAACATCGAGCTTTTTCGAGCCGAATAGGACGCTATTCGGCTCGGCTCGTGATTTTCAAAAAGTTCGAAATGTTCGAGCCGAATACTTATTGAACTAGCAAATAAAAATTAAATTAATAAATAAGGAACTAACTTTCATTTAAATTTACTCTCCTCCGTTTCATAATTGTGTCTTGATAAGCACGAACCTCAGCTCAGTCAAGACGCAATGATTATCGATCGTAATTTTGAGGAAACTACCACCTATTGCGTTGTCTTTCTAACACAACTATTCGTATCGTAATATACAACGCAGTGCGAGTGCGTAGTAATTGTGTAGTGCGTGTGGTGCTAAGTCGCTATGACGACACACGGTTGCCGTGGCAACCTACAGTGCACACTGAGCACTGCGCCTTGTGTGGGAGGGGAGATTATACCAACAAACTATTTCAGGAATTCTATTTTGGGACGGATGAAAGATAAGGAAGAAACAAAAAGTGGTCACGTGTGCAAATGTAGTGGGCGAGACAATAAGGCTGTAAACGAGTATCGTCGTGTCATTGTTCCTTGTTTGTTTACTTTTTCAGATTCCTTATCAAACGCCCCTATCTGCTATCTCTCTTTCTCTCTCTCTCTCTCTCTCTCCCTCTCTCTCTCTCTCTCTCTCTAACAATGTACTGATTAAACAGATTGTGGTTGACGACTTTTCTACTTATAAGTTTCCCTGCGGTTATTTTAGTTCAATCAATCCCATAACCTTTCTAATTTTTATCAAAATAATTAATTAATATGTTTTGTATTTTATTTCCTTTCAACCAACCCCTATTTACCATCTGTATTTTATAGAATAAAATGTTTGTTTATAAAGTTTGACTGGCCACACAATTTTGTACCTATTTTATTTTGTATAAAGTAACAGTTACTTTGAGGATTATATATATATATATATATCAATAAGTGGCGCGTGCTGTAATGAGTGCTTTTTATTATCAAAATAAGTAATGAGTTATTAATTTTTGATAGTACATGGGTCATTGAATACCATAATGTGATGTAGTTTCCTATTTGTATCTTGCAAATAATAATAATTGATGGTTAATTCTGGAAATGAAAAATAGTGATCGCATTCATAAACCTGTTGTCAAAACAGCTATGAGGGTGTAAGGGTTTATTGTTTCAGACGCAAGGGTGTTTCAAGGACAAAGTGTTGGGCCACCCGGATTGGGGGGGAGGGGGGCGGTGAGACTGTGTGAAGGGTAGGAAACTGGTTTTGGCTAGCCTATTTATTGATTAGTTCGCCCGACCCTTCTAGATAACAAAATTGAGTGACAGTATTAAATCATCGTGTTCTGCAATTAATTTCTTGTTTACTTTGTGTGTTATTCTATTAATTCTAGTGCTTTGGTCTATTTCCTCTATATGTCAATTATATATTTTTTAATATATAAGTAAAACTTGTCTCTCCACCTTTTTGGATCCAAACCAACCATGTTCTTTTTTTATTAATAGGATTCATAAAACAAAAATATTTTGTGCATGGAAAACAACAAGAATAATCACGTGTTTTTAAATTTATTTTGTATTTATTTATACAAAATAGAATTAAATATTCATAGTAGTTACAATATACATATGTAATCAACTTGCTAGTTGTTTTGTCGTCATTCAAGGTCGCGTTGCTGTTCTGTTATGAAAGACAATCTGATTGTCTCAGTCTGCACTGCATATCTTTTCAGGCCTTCAATCGATATCCTTTTATTTCTTGCATCTTCATTTAGTTCAGTTCAGTTCTTATCGTGATTATCTACTATTTGATGTCTTGACAATTCTCAATGTTTTTGAACATATTAAAATAACATTGTGTTTATTTAAAAATTGACTGAACATTATTATTATTATGCACTTTTTTAAGAAAAAAAAGTTTAATAATTAAGATTAGGTTACGCTAGGAAAAGCTCGGCTCGAAAAAGCTCGAGCTCGAACATTTTTTAAAAAGCTCGGCTCGGCTCGGCTCGAGGTTGAAAATCACTATTCGCACACCCCTATTTCTGAGTCAATTGAAACTAGGCCTACATCTATGTCTGTTCCTGAGTCAATTGAAATTCCTAGGCCTGGACCAAGTAGGCCTAAACCTAATACTCTTCGAACGAATAAGCCTTCAAAAAGAAAAGTAGGAAGAAATACCGATACAAGACAACCAAAAAAAAGTAGGGCTAGGAAAAAAGAAAATAAATAAAAAAAAGTCACAATGAAACTGGGAAGATAAAGACAATGTCTCTAAAACTATTCCATTTGTTGCTATCCTCGGTCTAAATCCAATTTACGCACGTTGACTGGGAAACACCCCCTCAGAACTTGACATTTTATCTCAGTTTTTAGGGAATGAGTTTTATTCTATGTTGTGTGTTGAGACAAATGATTATTCAAATAAACAATTGAATGACCCTAATAGAAGAAAGCTTGCTGATGATAAGTTGTGGGTGCCAGTTAGAGTGCCAGAAATAAAAGCATATCTGGCACTTTATATTCTAATGGGCCATGTAAAAAAGCCAAGGATAAAGATGTACTGGTCGACTAGGAAAATTGTAGAAACAACTTTTTTTTCAGAAGTCATGACATATAAGCGATTTTGTCTTATTTCACGATTTTTGCATTTCTCTGATCCTGATTTTACAGATCTGAAAGATAAATTGAAGAAATTGAGACCGGTAATTTCCTACCTAGAAAACAAGTTTATGGACTTCTATACAATGGAACAAGATGTAGCAGTAGATGAAAGTTTAGTGAAACTTAGAGCATTCAATACAATCCAAAAAAAAGAGCTCGTTTTGGTGTAAAGTTGTATAAACTATGTGAATCATCTTCGGGATATTGTGCTGCATTTAAAATTTACACTGGAGAAGACCAAACTCCTGGTTTTCTGTGCAGCGAGGCTGTTGTACTGAACCTTACACAACCTATACAAAATCAGGGCTATAGACTTTACATTGACAATTGGTATATGTCACCGAGACTAAGTGAGATGCTACTACCTAGAGATACCCATGTTATTGGATCAGTCGATTACAAGAGAACAAATATGCCAGATGATTTTCCAAATATGGAACTGGAAACAGGTGAAGCTGTAAGAAGAAGCTGCAGTGGGGTATTAGCAATTAGATGACTTGATAAAAAATGTACACGTTTTGTCAACAATCTATGAAGGTGTTCAGTTTGCTGTTTATAAAGGAATAATAATAAGGGGGGAAACAATACAAATAAAGAAACCTAAATCAGTGACTGAATACAACAAGGGCATGCTAGGTGTAGATGTGCAAGACCAGTTTTTGGCATCTCACACAATTATGAGGCGCTGTGTCAAATCGTATAACTTTTTTTTTTTTTTTTTGATTGACATGGCGATTTTCAATTTATTCTGTATTTGGAGGAAGATTTATCAAAAGAAGATGCATTATTCTGACTACAGACTGAATGTTGTTGAACAAATTATTGGAAACATCACACTCCCAGAAAGAAGTTCTCCGGGGCGCCGTTCTTTGCAGGACAATCCCCTCGGCCTTCAAAGTAAAGCGTGGGAACATTTTCCAATGGCTATTCCTCCAACTGGAAAGAAAAACCGTCCCACAAGAAACTGCAAAGTGTGTTTCAAGAATGACATATGGTCAGAGAATTGTTACATATGTAAGAAATGCCAAGTCGCCCTCCATGTGGACACGTGCTTTGAAGCGTACCACACCAAAAGGGACTAGGCCTACTAGAAAAAGAAGCTAAACTGTAAATAGTGTAAATATGACTTGTAAAAATGTTAAACAGTTACTATAATAAACATGACAATATAAATTACTTACATCCTCTCTCATTGGTAAGTTACCCTACAATAGCTTACTGGTTTTCCACTACCGCATGCCAAGTTAGTTTATTAGTTTTATTTTGTAGGTATACATATTACATACCAAGAAATCTAATTAAGTACATAGGCCTACTGTGGGCTACATTTTGTAGAAACTTGGCTATGTTTATTCTGATAACCAAGAGATGTAGGCCTACAGAATTTTAAAAAGACAAGTGGACACGTTTTTGCCAACATTTTACCACTTGTAGCGTTTTAGAAAATATTATGTAAAAAAAAAACTAAATATTGTATTTAATTAAATCAAAGTTTTCTATGTAGAAAATTAAATATTCTATATTAAAGTTAAAGCATTTCAACATTTTTATGAATGAAAAAAAATGACTTACTTTAAAAATTGTATATACATATTTATAAATTTGTGAGTATTATATTAATAACAAAAAAATTCTGAAAACAATGTTAAAAGCATTGCAAGGTATAGAGAATTTTATAAGGATTAAGAAAAATATAATATAAACCACATTTGGTTGAACAATTAGGCCCGATTTCACCAAACTTTTAAACCACCGTTAAGCCCTGCTCTAACTGCAGTTTGCTCTTAACTGACGAAATCGGATTTCACCACTCGCCGTTAGCGCTAGTTTAGACTAAACCGTCGTTAGATAATTAACTGCCCAATATCTGTGATCAGCGACCGCATTGAACTGATTGGCGATCAAGAGCCATACTCTTTTATCCCAGAGAGTGTCCCAGCTCTTCTACCAACATTATCAAATTTATTATTTCATTGTTCGAAAAAATAGGCTCCCTTTCCTTCTCCCGGCTTTGGGTAACCCTAGCCCTAACCCAACGTTCAAACAATTGTTTTGCGTTCGGTCAGACGTAAGTAAACCAAAATCTAAACCTAAATTGTCATTATTCTGCTAGTATTTTATAGAAAATAATTATTTTGGTGTTATTGTGTCTCGTTCTTGTAATTCTTTTGATTCCAGTTTTTTCACTACTTCAAATTAAATGTACCAAACTGGTTAGTGAACAAACAGAATATTGAACATCCCTGTAAAAAGTTGGATTTTGAGTTTTGACTCGAACGCAAAACTCAACCAATTGTTCCTCGAACAATTGAAATATTGTTCCTCGAATATGTTTGATCAACATTGCTTTGCCTTTATTTACTTATGTTAATTGTTTTGGTATTTATTCTTGCTTTCTGTTGTTATTTTGCTCAGAATCTATTGTATTCCTGTAAGCTTGCTGTCTCCAGTTTTGTTTTCACTACCTCATAAACACTGATTTATTTTCTAGGTTATGTTTACTTGCTCCCGCAACAGCCCGGTATTATGACAGTTCACTGCCACCGCCACCTGGATTTTACTCTAAACTCTCGTTTATAAAACCAGCGTTAGTTTTGACGCGTTTTCGTTGGTGAAACCAGATTTCCTTAACTGTGGTTTAAATCATCGTTTAGTTTTAACCGAAGTTTAACTAAACCATCGTTAGCGAGAATTTGGTGAAATCGGGCCTAAGAGTGTTATAGGCTTTTAATTAAAACCTTACATTTTGCTGGAATTTAATAGGATCCATAGGGGGCAGCTTGTAATGTGCTTATTAGGTCTCAAATGGGTTAACCCTGCATCTGGCAGCTACAAATCTCTGTACTGGCAGGCAATTTTTAACTGTATGTAATTAGGTGACTTTAGAGCTGTATAAATTGTGTTCTACAATACAAAAGTATGGGCTATACTATTATATGTTTTCTTTTACAGGACATTACAAGGAACAAATTTAAACCATTGACACATCCCGTAAAAATTTTGTAGAACTGTTAACTTGTATGAACAAAAAAAATGACTAGGGACTAATCTTTACTATTAAAAACGCTGGATTACTAAACATGTTTTTTTAAATAGCAAATTCGTGAGTGCAACCTATATTGAGTGCTCCCAAAAATTGGATTCCCTTACAATTATTTTACCCCACCCAGGGTAGTGACATCATGATGACGTTTCATTTACTCAACTTTTCAGTGCCCCCATAGAATTGTACCCCACTCAGGGTAGTGACATCACGATAACGTCTCATTTACTCAACTTTTCAGTGCCCCTATAGAATTGTACCCCACCCAGGGTAGTGACATCATGATGACGTCTCATTTACTCAACTTTTCAGTGCCCCCATAGAATTGTACTCCACCCAGGGTAGTGACATCATGATGACGTCTCATTTACTCAACTTTTCAGTGCCCCCATAGAATTGTACCCCACTCAGGGTAGTGACCTCATGATGACGTCTCATTTACTCAACTTTTCAGTGCCCCCATAGAATTGTACCCCACTTAGGGTAGTGACATCATGATGACGTCTCATTTACTCAACTTTTCAGTGCCCCCATAGAATTGTACCCCACCCAGGGTAGTGACATCATGATGACGTCTCATTTACTCAACTTTTCAGTGCCCCCCATAGAATTGTACCCCACCCAGGGTAGTGACATCATGATGACGTCTCATTTACTCGACTTTTCATTGCCCCCATAGAATTGTACCCCACCCAGGGTAGTGACATCATGATGACGTCTCATTTACTCGACTTTTCAGTGCCCCCATAGAATTGTGCCCCACCCAGGGTAGTGACATCATGATGACGTCTCATTTACTCAACTTTTCAGTGCCCCCATAGAATTGTACCCCACCCAGGGTAGTGACATCATGATGACGTCTCATTTACTCGACTTTTCAGTGCCCCCATAGAATTGTACCCCACCCAGGGTAGTGACATCATGATGACGTTTCATTTACTCAACTTTTCAGTGCCCCCATAGAATTGTACCCCACTCAGGGTAGTGACATCACGACGACGTCTCATTTACTTGACTTTTCGGTGCCCCCTTAGAATTGTACCCCACCCAGGGTAGTGACATCATGATGACGTCTCATTTACTCGACTTTTCGGTGCCCCCATAGAATTGTACCCCACCCAGGGTAGTGACATCACGATGACGTCTCATTTACTTGACTTTTCGGTGCCCCCTTAGAATTGTACCCCACCCAGGGTAGTGACATCACGATAACGTCTCATTTACTCAACTTTTCATTGCCCCCATAGAATTGTACCCCACCCAGGGTAGTGACATCACGATGACGTCTCATTTACTTGACTTTTCGGTGCCCCCTTAGAATTGTACCCCACCCAGGGTAGTGACATCACGATAACGTCTCATTTACTCAACTTTTCGGTGCCCCCTTAGAATTTTACCCCACCCAGGGTAGTGACATCACGATGACGTCTCATTTACTCAACTTTTCAGTGCCCCCTTAGAATTTTACCCCACCCAGGGTAGTGACATCACGATGACGTCTCATTTACTCAACTTTTCGGTGTACATTATATGTGGTTCTGCACAAGTGGTTTTATTAAATCCCTCGCCAGCTTAATATCTGGATGGGCCGGAATGTACCCCCCTGGAATTGTACTCCCTCATTTATAACTAACTCTTATTAGGTCAGTGTACTGGGGGTATTTGAATTTCCTGTCAGTGTAGTCTTTCTTCTAGGACTAGAATTGTACCTACCACCATTGGGCAGACCTCCTTGAATGCACCAGAATTGAAATTGGTGTGCTAGCAAGCATCTTTTCTATTCCCTATTTGAACTCACTTTGGAATCCACCCCAAGGGCTTTCAAAGTTTTAATATAAATACAGTAAATAGCAGGAAGCTGAGGGTTTTTAACATTTCAGTATTAAATAACACCATATACTCGTTTGTTTTAGGTATTAAAAATACCTTTTAAAGAAAGTTGCACCTTGTGATTTCATATTTAAATACAAAATTTGGAAATTTCACAGTTAATTTGATATATTAATAACCCATGATACATTAATTGTGAAATGAAAATTCCCAATTTTTTTCCATTTTAATGTGTTCATATTTATGTCCTCGATAAATTAATGTAGGTACTCAATTTATAAAATATAACAGGCCTAGGCTTATATTTTCATGAGAAGTTTGAAGTTTGAAATATTGTATGGACCACTTAAAAGGTTTTTTTATATTTGGAATCAACAACCTTTTATCTATGCTGAACTCAAAAGCAGAGGTGAAACTTGAAGAATGGTCGCATTTCATTCATTATTTACACCAAAGCAGTTGGAGTAACTAAATATAGTAAAAACTAAAATATAGGCCTACAAAATGTACAATTTCTGTGATAGTATAAAATACAGTCTAAGAGTTGGAATCAAATAAATTAATAACGTAAACGTAATAACATTTTATCAGGTTCAAGTATTGGTGTTGAATTGGCTATAAAGCATTTTGTTAACAAGATAATATTCAGAACAACAGAGTAAGTCTAAATAAAACAAACCCTTTTCGAAAAGAAATATTAGTTTGGATCTCAAGTTAACCTATCAAAACATATAACTTATTAGTTTTATCTGTAAATAGTGTAAATAATCTTCATTTACAGTTTTTCTACGATCAATTAAGTTGTGTTGTTCAATGTAAAAAAAATTAAAATATCCATATCGTCCAAGGTGAAGCAAATCTTAATATAATTGCTTAGCAATCTTATTTTCTTATAGGCTACAATTATTTATTACTATTTTATATACAGGCTTAAAAATCGTGCCAACCTATAACACTTTAGAGGGTTTTCGCAACTAGTTCATTGTAATGATACGGCTTAGTCCGTAAACATTTTGTTTTCTAATAGGGGATACAATTTAATTCCGTACAAAAAGTAGATTGATGTTGGCAGGGGCTACTAATCCAGGCTGTACTCAACTAGCTGAAATATTTCTTTCTATGTGTAGTTACCCTGGAAGACGCTAAAGAACATCATAGAGTACTACTACATGTGGAAGACCACAGACAGATACGTGCAGCAGAAGAGGGTTAAAGCTGTGGAAGCAGAGTCCAAGCTTAAACAAGTTTACATTCCTAATTAGTGAGTCAGAAAACCTTTATTTGATTATGTTAACACAGATTTTTAAATGTATTCAATAAATATTTAGAAAGATATTCACATTAATATTTTACTGATTATAAAATTAAATGAAATCTAATTTAACAATTTTAAATAAGCAATATTGAAAATTGAGTCAATCTTTAGTTAGCTCAGTCATTAAAACTGAATAACTAAAATGTTATGAATAAATATCCTGTTTTATTTCAGCAACAAACCAAACGCCCCTGTCATAAACAACAATAAGGGAGTGATGAACGGAAATAGTAATGGAGACACAATAATCAGTGGCAAAGCTTGTGAATCATGCAACAGTAAGTAATAAGCAAATAATAATTGTTGAGATATAGATATGTTTTTTTGTCAATAACACAGTGTCATCCTACAAAGTATAAAACCATAAGGTCTACATCAAACCTATACCGATACCAGACACGTCTTTTAAATAGCGCGATCAGAAAATATCACTATTGCCGCGATCGCGCAAGACCGCGATGCGGTTTCTGTATCCGAGGGAGTCGTTGATGACGTCTTCACGACTGCAGGAGATGATTAGAATTTTTCTGCAACCACGGGAGATGATGACAATTTTACATGATTGCTGGTGATGATCACGATATTACCTCGAGTTTGGCTTCACAAAAAAAATCTGGCTGGTACATCTCTAGTTGAAATCAAACTTTCTTTTTGATTTTGTTGTTAGATATTTATTTACCTTTAATACAGTAGTTACTTAATGTGTTTAGAAGTGATTAAACCTAAATTGGCTAGTTAGCATTTTTCATTGATGCATTAATTATTTTTTTACTTGAAAATCACCCCATTTTCACAAAATACTTTATGGAAGGACAAAAAGACAAAAACTTGTATAGTATAATCAATCCATTTGAAAGATTAGGTAAATCTATAAAAAAAATGGCAGCGGTATTGAGAATAGATTTTTTATGGAACCGGTATCGAAAATTATTGTATAACAATTAGATTCAACTCAAAAGAAACATTATTTTACTCAATCCATTCTATTTACAAAATTGGTAAAGATAAACAATTAATTAACGAACACATGTTTTAAAACAATACATCAACTTAGTGTAAGGGAAGTATTTGGTCTGAGTGACGAGTCCAAGTGAGTACAGTGTCTGTCTTGACTTTAAACATAACATTTCCTGTTCTTGAAATTATTTTCCCTTCCTTCCACTTTTCTTTTGAAGAATAATTTCTCACCAGTACTCTCTGCCCCACCTGAAAATTTCTTTTCAGCTTGTGTTCCGACATAGTCTTTTTATTCCATTCTACTTTATGTGCCATCACATTAAGTTTCCTTCTTATATCTCTCCCAAACATTAACACATAAGTGGAGAGTCCTGTAGAGTTTGGAGCTTTGCGTATCTGAGTTACAAGATCTATTTTATGCTGCAAGTCTCCCTTTTCTTCGCTCATAGCAGCCAATGATTTCTTAACAGTTTGGACAAATCGTTCTGCTTGGCCATTGCTTGAAGGGTGAAAAGGTGCACAAGTCCTATGGCAAATTCCATTAGGCTATTGCTTAAAACCCTTTGAAAAAGTGCACTTGTAAATTGGGAGCCGTTGCCTGTTACTATCATTACTGGCAGTCCAAAAGTTGGCTGTCTCTGAGCCCGGAAGGTATGGTTATCTAGAGTGTGGGGGGTTTTCTCTGGAACCTCAATTGAGTTAAGGGTGTCGTCACCTTTGGTGGATAGGTTCATCCGGGTGGGTCCCACTTCTAAACCCGCCTCCTTTTGTGAAACCCTGAGGGCCTGGCAGTGATGTTGGGCTTGATGGGCAAACGAAGTAGATCGGGTGTTGGGATCAAGCCCGCTAGGGGTATCTGGGGATCTATCGCCCTGGGTATCCCTGGTTTCCCAGCAATGGGATGGCCTCGATCGGGTAGTGGTGGAAATGGGGGGTTAGGGTTCCCCCGTCAGCTTGCTGGCGGTCCCCTTCCTCCTGGCTTTGATGGCGGGCTTCGGCCTGTCAGGGATTGGATAGGTCCCGAGTGTTGCTTGCACTAAATGCGTCAGAGCATTTCATTATTGGCCTTCAGGTTTTGTACCTGCTGGTTCCAGGTGGAGTGACGCTTAACCAAGTAGCCGGTATCCCTGGTTAGGATTGAGGGGCAACGTTGCTTCGGCAGCCGGTGAGCCTGATGACCTTAAGTCATCCGCCCATGGTGTGCTAAGGTTAGTGCGTATGCTCTGGCCTACACCATGGGGCCCGGGTATGTTTAATTATAGGTACCGGGTTGCAGTTGGGGGGCTTCGGCTCTTTCGACACAAACAAATGGAAATGGAATGGAGTCCAAAAGTTTTGAATTAGTGACTTAAATTTCGAATGCACCAATCTGAAGGAGTGTTTTTTGTATGTATAACCTCCAACCATTTTGTATGGGCGTCAATAATTATGAAAAAATAATTTCCATTTACGGGTCCACAAAAATCCAAATGTAAGCGATGCCACGGAGCTGTAGGTTCTTCCCAAGGGTGGTGGTTTAATTTAGACGGTTCATTTCTTTTCTGTTTGCATTTGCCATAGTTATTAACCAAGTTCTCTACATCAGTATCCAAGTTTTTCCAATATACATAACTTCGTGCCATAGCCTTCATTTTCGACATGCCTAAATGCCCTATGTGTAGTTCCTTGAGAACTTCTTTCTGCAATGCGTTAAGTATTACAACTTGACTACCTCTAAAGATGCAACCTTTATGTAAACTTAAGTCATTATTTCGGAAACCAATCTTTTCAAGATTTTCTCAATTTTCTAGTGCTGTAACTATTGCAGCTAGTGCAGGGTCTTTCTTTGTGTGCTCTGCAAGTGTACATTGTGTGAGAGGAAGAACAGCTAGTTGATTCATTTGGAACTTGGAATATAAGTCTTCGTCATCTTGAGTTTGTTCAACTGGAAAACGAGACAAGAAATCTGTGTTACAGTGGTCTGAAGTTCTTCTATACTCAATTGTGTAATCAAACCCAGCAAGAAAAAGTGAGTAGTTCAATAAACGAGTAGCTGACATTGCCGACAAGCATTTTGATGGATGGAATATGGAAATAAGAGGTTTGTGGTCCGTCTGAAGAACAAACTTTCGCCCATAGCAATAAGCAAAGAATTTCTTCACTCCCCAGTAAATTGCTGTAGCTTCTTTGTCTACTGTTTTTCACTTTTTGACAAAGATCGTGAAGCAAAAGCTATGGGTTGTTCCCACCCATCAGGAAACTTATGGGAGATTACTGCTCCCAATCCATAAGGAGAGGCGTCAGTTGAGAGTATTAGAGGAAGTTTTGGATTGTAGTGTGCTAGAGTGTTGTCATTAGCTATGTGCTTTTTAACATTTATAAAGCTGTTTTTACATTCTTGTGACCATTCAAATCGCTGTCCTTTCTGTAGCAACTTAATCATTGGATATAGTTTTTCGGCCAGTCTTGGTATAAATTTGTTGTAGTAATTGACCATGCCAATGAAAGATCGTAGTTGATTCACATTTCTAGGGTTTTCTGCCTCTATAATTGCTTTAACCTTTTCTGAGTTTTTCTTCAGCCCGTTCTCATAAATCGTATGTCCCAAGTATGTTATTGTTTGTTGAAAGAATCTACATTTGTCAAAATTTAATTTCAAGCTATGTGCTCTAAGTTTTTCTCGGACAGTTTTTAATCTCTCTAGTGTACTCTTGTAATCTGTACCTTGAATGATTATATCATCGAAAAAGCACTTAACTTCATCAGTCCCTTGCAATACCTTATCCATGAATCTTTGCCACAGTGCTGGTGCTACTTTCACTCCAAACATCAACCTGTTTACTTTATACAAACTTTTCTGAGTGCTTATTGTTTGTAGCATAGCACTTTCAGAGTCCATTGGCATGTGTAAGTAAGCATTACTAACATCGAGTGTACTGAAAAATTTACCTCCATTCATCTCAGCAAAGATGTCCTCAATTCTTTGTATTGGATATTTCTCATCACGGTAACTTTATTCAATGTAGTCTTGTAATCTGCACATATTCGTACCGAACCATTAGGTTTTACTACTGGTAGGGATGGTCAAGTCTCGAAATTTCGGGAAATTTTCGGGAAATTTTAAATCTCGTTACACGAGACGAGATTTCTTTTTGGCCGAGATTTTTATCGAGGCGAGAATAAAAAAAAAAAAAAAAAAAAAAAAAAATTAAAAACGCCTGCAGAAAGTCAATGCAATACCCGCAATACAGGAGCGTGTTGTAGTTGCGTTTCCTTTGCGAAGGCGTTCTTATTTAATTAATTCTTCAAATGTAAATATTACTTTAATTATTTTAATAACATTTGAGAAGTTTTGTTAAGTGTTAGCAGTTTGAGGAATGTTTTATTACTATAAAAAAGTCAAAACAAGTAACTATTTTATAAAAATTAATATTATATTTTATAGGGATGGACGAGATTGAATTTTTAGTTCGAGACGAGACGAGACGAGATTTTTTATTTCTCATAAAATTTCGAGACGAGATCGAGACGGGATTTCCCTTCTCATACACAACGGGAAATGCACGTTCAAAATTTTTACCTGATTTTGTAACATTGTTAGATGACTGTTTAAATACAAAAATAATGATAATAGGCAAGAATATTTACAATCTTTTAACATTAGAATAACATTTTTTTTATTAATCACGCCTAACTTATTAAAAATGCCTACGATTAGGAAACATAGTGATATCAGTTAGGATAGAGTTCAACTTATCCTAAAATAAAATAAATCATAAAATAAAAGCAATATTAATTTTTATAAAATAGTTACTTGTTTTGACTTTTTATAGTAATAAAACATTCCTCACACTGCTTACACTTAACAAAACTTCTCAAATGTTATTAAAGTAATATTATTGAAATAATTAAAGTAATATTTACATTTATAGAATTAATTAAATAAGAACGCCTTCACAAAGGAAACGCAACTACAACACGCTCCTTCACAAAGGAAACGCAACTACAACACGCTCCTGTATTGCGGGTATTGCATTGACTTTCTGCAGGCGTTTTTAATTTTTTTTTTTTTTTTTTTTTTTTTTCTCGTCTCGATAAAAATCTCAGCCAAAAAGAAATCTTGTCTCGTGTAACGAGATTTAAAATTTCCCGAAAATTTCCCAAAATTTCGAGACTTGACCATCCCTAATATTTTATGATTTATTTTATTTTAGGATAAGTTGAACTCTACCCTAACTGATATCACTATGTTTCCTAAACCCTCATGTGTCCTTAATCGTAGGCATTTTTAATAAGTTAGGCGTGATTAATAAAAAAATGTTATGCTGATGTTTTTTAATAA